ATGATAATACAGTGGCTATTCGGACAAAATTAAGCTGTAGGCAAGGTATCGATGGTGCTTCGAGTATTGTGGTGATAATCTACTAACCCATGCCTAGTAACTCGGCAACTAATGTTGGAAGTTGTTTAATCTATACTGGTAGCAAGTAGGGATAGGGTCGGCTTATTATCTTATTCATAATTGAACCTCAGCCACAAAACCATGATTTAAGAAATGGAACAACAGTCGGAAGGATCAAGTACTTGTGGAAGCCCACTGACAATCTGGTTATTCAAATATGGGACAAAAGCTTGCGTATGTATCAAGGCAAACTACAACTCAAGTTAGCTTTTATCAATCAAAATGGTGTCAACTTTTCGATGGTTTAGGCTGCCAACACTGATTCTCATTAAAAAAATACGGTTTATTTTCACTGTTGGCCACAAAGTCTCGCTGGAACTACGATGCTTCAGAATACCAGAAGCGATTCTTTTTGTTTCAAGTATAACTGACTTCGACAGCGTTACAGCGGTCCTAACCAGTGCATATCCTGTTTCCTATGCATATGTCAAAGAGAACAAAAATTCGACTTTTATAAAAGGACATGTCAGTTCATTTTGAGATACCACATTTGCACAAATCTCACCAAGCCTGTGTTTTCATCGGATCAAGTTTAGGAACGAATGTGACTCTCTACGGTTACTTTGAATACAGCGATGAATTCAACTTCTTACACAACTTCTGATCTAACCGGGTCATCGTATTGTAGTCACATGACTGATAATTGCAGAAAATGAATTGGTACGGAAAAATTATCGGCCTTGTATCCAGAAACCAGTAACACTTAAAACACGTGGGAGAGATGTTCCTGGATATTTTTTCAGGAGCGGCGAGGGGTGGAGAGCTCTAAAAAAGGGTAGATCATTCAAGTACAGACACCTGTGCTAACATATAACATCCCTCAGTGGCGGATTCAAGGATGTGTACACGAGAACTAGAATTTTTGACTGTCATATCACGTGATTGTTAAGGTAGGGTGATGACAAACGAATATGCCGCAATAGTGTTGATTTGGGGTCTATCTTTGATTATCAAATTTAAAAACAATTACAAAGTAAATGAATCATAAATGAAAATTGCTAATTATATGTTCAATAACTTATCGCGTATTGAGATAATTTAAGTTCCGTTCAAAAAAATTCATTCGCAATTGTCAAAGATTACCCTCAATAAGGGGAAATCAAGCAGTAAGCAAACACTCACTTGCAACGCTCCAAGCCACATAAACATAGCTTCTTCGGTCTCTGCTTGTAATATGTGGTCTCTACCGTCAACACTGAAAAATTAAAGAATGTCATTGTTCATTAGACAGAAAATCTTAACCGGAATGTTTCTGAGTTGCAAAGAAATCAACTGTATGTGTATTTATTACACCAATGTGTTAGTATTCAAAAGATAAAAGGTAACATTGTATCCGCAATACAAATGATAATATTAGTAGCGGAAGGAAGAAGGATAACAGGAATTTGAAGATAAATAATAAAATCTAATACGCAGAAGTAGAATTTACTGCCTCTTACCTGTCTGAAAAGAACCACGCAGATCCTCATTTCGCCTAGCGAAATACACTAAGAGTGAAGAGCAAAAATAAAAAATTCAAACTAAGTCAGATAGCCCTTCATGGACCCCGAATACCGAGTGTTACCTACGTTGTGGGACCCCAACGTTTTCAACACTTTCCAATCACTTTTCCCGCCACTGGACATTAGTTGTTTTGTATGAAATGTTACCGTTATTTTTGTGTCTAGAGTGACGTATCTATTGGTGAAATTGAGGACAATTGAAAGTGTTGAAGTGAACAAATATGGCCAATGATAGAAACTAAAAGCCCCTGTAAACGACCCACCTGATGATGAACTGATTCATTTCATTGGGATCGACAGAAAACGAAGCATGAGGAATACTGATAGATTTCAACGGTTCCTTGTTTGGGACACTGGCTTCCTCCTCCGTCCGGAACGCGACCAGACAGAACGTGGCTTCTTCGAACGCATGCCACAGACGTTGAGAGCCTTTTAGGCGCCGAAATGCTTTTGGAGAGGATGATAAAAAGGATAAAAGAAGTTTACTCCAAAACTTTGACGTAGAAATTAAGAAGCGGGAATACTAGGCATCATAAAAGTTTTTAAAAACTGAATTTTCATTTACCAGTGAGCAAGAGGAAGCTTTGAACTGACTGCAGAGGGCAACGATCACAAATAATAGCAGGGGAAGCAATCAAGCGCGCGCACATGAAAAAGTTTGCTTGCCATGAATGAAATGAAATACAACGCGATAAAACAAAAGGAGATCTGGGAACAGTTTGCGTGCAATAAATGAACTCAACGGGCAAAAATAAGTATCATATTCGGTAAAAAACAATATGAGATCACAGAATATATTCTCCATGAATTTGTTTTCCAAAAAGGCAGAGCTTAGAGTAAACAACTAAAGCAAAGTGCAAACAAAACGTGAACAAATCAGTACCCATTGGACGAAGTACGCCGATATAAAATGCGTATCGGAAAAACGTTTGAAGCGGAAAATCGAAAATGGATTTGTTAGGTTAGTGGGAGCGTTTTATTGATTACTGTTTTGCAACACTTTGTTGTCCTCTTACCCGATTCGATGAAGGAACTTAGATCGGCGGCCCGAAATAGATTGGTTGCTACATGTCACGGGAACAGGATAGATCAGACCAAAATGTTCCCGATCAAGAAGGCAGTTTTACAGCATGATGAGTAATAATTAAAAATATTTACTGAATTTTATGTGCCACTTGCTCACAGAAAAATTGTGAGGGCTTGGTGGTTTTGGTTTTCCCGTGCATGAGGTAAACCATTGGTTAAGTTTAGTTGTTTTATTTTGATCACGTTTTGTGCTGTAGCACTGGGATTTTGATAAGCTGTTAGAAATGACCAATCCTGGAAAAGAAATAAATTGGATGACTGTCGTCGCGGTAACGAATGTACAAAGTATTGGACCTTATAAAGGGTGACAATGTCACAATTACGCGCAACGTAAATCAACACCGAGTAAAACTTTGAAGAATGGATGAAAATCGATCTATCTCGCCGGTGCAGCCATTATCTGCATAAACAAATAATCAGAGCTAGCTGATAAATTTCAAGCTAAACGAAAATGTAATCTGCATTACACAATAGAGACACATATCCGTTTCTTCTCAAAAACTGACGAGCTTATAATGCAAACTACAAGTTGGTCATTGAACAATTATTGTTAGTACGAATGTCACCAGACTAATGATCGCAAAAATAACAGATTGAACAATCGAGATACCCCAACCGAAAACTGGTTACTTGATCACTCCAACACACAGATCGGATACCAACCAAAGGGCGACTAACCATTACAGTTCAGCTACACCTTCGAAGAACACTATGCAGCCATAAGCCAGCTTATAGGTCTATCCCGAAATTTTGATGTCGATCTCATAACATAAAAACTGTCTGTTTGGAGACGTTTAGAGCAGACTAGACTGAAACTGGCATCTTTTTTATTTTTGTTTTGTATTTTGCATACTTGTCTTAAGAATGGCAGACGGAAATGGGGCCGCACAGCCGCATAGACCTACTGTTTATTGGCGAAAACCGGCAACCTAACGACCGTGGCTGGGGTCGGTTGAATATTTGATCGGTTGACAAGAAAACTGCACAACATCAAAGTTTAGTACTGGTGGCTGGTTTTGAACCTCACACAATAGGGTTCAAAGTAAACTGGTAACTGACTCCATCCGTGCTCCACATCCACCAGATCTAAAGAAATATCAGCAGCAAAATCGAAGCAATATGTACGGATACGAAAATTTACAAGGAAATTAGAAGCCACGTAAACAGTGAGATAAACCTGAAGAGAAAGTCATATTGTGGACATTGTTTCTAATGATATGCGTTTAGCCTTCATACAATTTCGTGGCTCAATTTATTTGAGATTTTTCGTGTCAGTGATCCCGTGAACTCCGAATCACAGTCTAGTGAGGATCACTCACTCATCAACCCCTGAGGTGGAACTGGTAAGAAAGTTCGGCGAGTGCGTAGTGTTTAATTGAACGAATAAATAGCGGTCACTGCTTGAAATGAAAAGCGGATAATAATTCACCCAGCCAAATCCCAATCCACTTTATTCCAAACAATAAGAACAATGAATTTTTCCTCGTGTAATGAATTTGATCAATCAGAATTTTTCCTCTGTCTGTAATATTCTTCTTAACGAAGTGTCTGCTGTTTTCTATCAAAGTAAATCCTTTACGTGACGGACCAATGTATGCAAAGCAGTGAATGTGTACTCGCACCATGAAACGAAGTATTACCCCGTCATGTAGGCTTTCTTCATACTTCGGTCATGGTTATTGTTTTGCCAATTTTTAACTGACCGCATTGTTTCAAGCATGATAAGTACTATATAGCTTAAATAAAACTATGTTAGACAAGTTGGTTCTTGTAACATAATGAATCTCCGCATGCCAAACTTGTCTCACCACACACTTGTCCACCACACGCACACATACTCAGAGACACACATACACACGATGAAATATCCCTTAACATGTGATCCTTTCCTCTGAGTCATTTGATTGTAAAACCTGCCTTGAGAAAGGTTACCCACGGTAACCGAAACGCCGGCAAATTTAATTCTCTACCGACATCGCTGTGTTAACAACACTATAACATTCACAACCAAACTTGTCTCGTTCATAATCCATCACACGTGTCCGTAATCATATTGACAACATTTTTCAGGCACTCTGATATATAAAACCCTGGATCGCTTACTCGTCAAACCCCGTACGTTCAATTTGTCCTACTGCTGCGAATGTCTCCGAACACCTGATTTGATGTTTTATAATAACCGTTCATCTTAATTGCGTGTCCCATCTTTTGTTTGCCTTCACCACTTATTCCTGTTCAAGTCAGGTCAAGTCAAAAATCGCTTTATTCATCCTAATGGACGGATTTTCATCGTCTTTCACTCCAGGAACATTTATTGCCACATACAGTCACAAAAAAGTGAGAAAAAAACAGCATCGTCAATCCAAAGGATTGTGGAGT